TGTCATGCTCATGTGTCAATTTTCTTTGACGTCCTTTACCCCCAACAAACAATGGAACAAATAATAACACCTCTACCATTGCAACACCAGCAGCAGCAGCAGCAGCAGCAGCAGCAATAGTGGCAACAACAACAATAGTGACAACAACAACAACAACAACAAAAGAATAAAAACGAAAAAAATCATCCTTCACACTAACAACAAAGAAAAGAAACAAACAATTATAACATCACCACCAATACTAACAATAACATTATCAAGAGTACCATAGACAGCAAAATAACTTGTGAATAATGTTAGTGTTTTTACATCTGTAAAATAGTTGCTTGCCCTCTACGCTTCTTTGAAGCTGAGATCTAGTGGGGTAATAATATAGATTGTAAAGCACATTAGATATTGCTGTTGTGCGGAAATTTGCGCAATACAAATGTTACACATGTATTTCTTAGTGTCCCCTACAAAAACGAACAAGATCGGAGTGATGGAGAGGAGTTGGGAGGGGGGGGGGGGTGGACAGTACCCTGCTCCCTAATGTAATCAACTCTGCTTTTGTGCACTTTTGGCTTTCTTCCAACGAACAGTGGGTGGTTTGCGGGTGCTCTTGTGTGGTTTGCTTCTTCTTTTCTATCAAACATCTATCGTCCTTATCTCCCCTCCTTCCTTTTTGTATTTGTTACTCTCTTGTAACACCTCTAATCTTCTGGCGCTCATATGACAGTATTATGTTGCAAGTGCCGTAAAACACCTACTAAGTGGGTGGTTGGCGGATGCTCTCGTGTGGTTTGCTTCTTCTTTCCTATGAAACATCTATCTTCTTTATCTCCCCTCCTTCTTCTTTGTGTGTGTTTTTTTTACCCTCTTGTAACACCTAATCTTCGGCACTCATATGACTTTATTGTGTTGCAAGTGCCGTAAAACACTTACTAAAAAATCCAACGAACAAATTTAACCCCCCCCCAAAAAAAAAAAAATTTAAAAAAACTAAATAAATGAATAAATTAACCAGTTTGTATCTTTCCTTCGTCTCTCCAGGCAAACAACCCAGCCATGACGTCAAGACCGGCTCTGCGGCCGCCAGCAGTGACAGTAGGGACAGTGAACAGAGTGATATCATACGGCAACTGGGCGAGGGAGAGGCTCTAGGGCAATACCTGGCCCCTGATGTAAGTCTCTTTGTTTGTTCTTCTTTGTTTGTTCTTCTTTGTTTGTTTGTGTGTGGGGGTGGGGGATGGGTGGAGGGGTGGGAGAGAAACAGAGAGACAGAAAGATATGGGGAAGTAAGAAGAGAGACAGTGAGCCGAGGGATCATACGGCAACTGGGCGAGGGAGAGGCTCTAGGGCAATACCTGGCCCCTGATGTAAGTCTCTTTGTTTGTTCTTCTTTGTTTGTTCTTCTTTGTTTGTTTGTGTGTGGGGGTGGGGGATGGGTGGAGGGGTGGGAGAGAAACAGAGAGACAGAAAGATATGGGGAAGTAAGAAGAGAGACAGTGAGCCGAGGGATCATACGGCAACTGGGCGAGGGAGAGGCTCTAGGGCAATACCTGGCCCCTGATGTAAGTCTCTTTGTTTGTTCTTCTTTGTTTGTTCTTCTTTGTTTGTTTGTGTGTGGGGGTGGGGGATGGGTGGAGGGGTGGGAGAGAAACAGAGAGACAGAAAGATATGGGGAAGTAAGAAGAGAGACAGTGAGCCGAGGGATCATACGGCAACTGGGCGAGGGAGAGGCTCTAGGGCAATACCTGGCCCCTGATGTAAGTCTCTTTGTTTGTTCTTCTTTGTTTGTGTGTGTGTGTGTGTTCGGTGAGGGAGAGAGAGAGAGAGAGAGAGAGAGAGAGAGAGAGAGAGAGAGAGAGAGAG